GGGTTGATAATATTAGCACCGGACACGTTATGATATGTATGGGAAGGTGTGAAAACCTAAAACTCAGAGATAAGAATATAAAAGCAACTTTATGTGGGAAGGCTAATCAGATAATTGGCATATGTTACATTACAACTCGCAAATTTACCCCTATCTAATCTTGCCTTTTTTTTTTCTTTCTTTAATTAAGTGCTCTAGTATTTCAATTTTCACTCAATTTTCACAAGCTACTAGGCTTGTCTATCCTGAAGTTGTTGCAGAATTGCATACGAAATCTTATGAAAGTGATATTTACTAAAAAAAAATAAATAAATCATTTAGTATTTGAGATAATACTCTACAAGGAAATTGTACAAAAGGATGACTATTTTTAACCTTTTCCTCAATCAATTAGAAACTGTTATGTGCCAATTTAGGTAAAAAATAGTCGAGTTTCTACTTTACCAAAATTCACCTTGTTTGCAACTTATAAGCCCTGTTTGATAACCCAATTCAGCACTTAAACTTAATGGATTTAGATTTTGACATAATTAAATGCGTTTGGTAATAAAAAATTGAACATCTGAATTGATTAAGTGACACTAAATTTTCTAGACAAAATTTGCTCCTAAAAATAAGTGATAAAATATTAACTTATCACTGAGTGTGATATACAGTTAAATGTATTAATAGTTAATAATTCAATAACTTAATCAATTCACACTTCAAATTTCAGATTTCAATTTTATCAAACGCACAGTAACATGTACAGACACTCACTAGTTTCTGGATTATGCATCATTTGAACCTAGTTATCAATGGCCTCAAAGTTATGTACCATTGGATACCTACGAAACTACCAAATCAACAACCTATTATTTTGCTATGTAAAGAATCGTTATAAAACTTCATCCTGTTCTGTTAAGTTTGAATTTTCTTGCTAAAGAAGAGAACAAAATTAAATTGAAATTAACTTTCATTTGTCCCTAGTCTATCCTAACCCCCAACCAAGTGGCAACTGTTAAGATACACTAATAAAGAGTGTAGAACTTAAAAATGTTGAAAAGAAACTTCAATTGAAAGTCAAACGGGAGTTTATATTTTTTTTCAACTCCAGTAAATGACTTTTCGTTGAATTAATTAAACCTAATCCCAGATTGAACTCTAAAAGCCGGCAACTCTTGGAGCCAACCCAGAGACTTAACTACCCAACCAAACCTCATCCCAGAGACGAAAAGTCATTTACTGGAGTTGAAAAAAGACAACTGACTCATGGGATTGGGTTCTTGGGTGGTAGTATCTCACTTAGTAGCAGGGTTTCCCCCTTTAGCTAGTCAAACGGAAGTTTATATGACAAATCAATTTTCATGAAATTCAAAGGGAAGTGTACCCTACTATACTATGAGAAACCTCAATAAGGCAAGTGCAATGAACATACTAAATTGTCAAATAAAAGAAAAGAAATCTTACTAACTTGTCATATTCTCATTTCCAAAAAAAAAAAAAAAAACTTGTCATATTCTGCGAAGGCAATCTGGTTAGCTTCAAACTGTGGAGTTACATTCTAGTTGGAGCAGAACCATTCTAGTGACCTGCTATCCGTACCACTAAAAGCACATTAATCTCAGAGCAACTGAGCAACACACTGGAGACAAGTCGTACGTTGTCTGCATACAACTCAACACAATACAACAGCAAAAGCAAATGCACATTGCCATTCAGTTACTACGACCATCAAACAGGGGCATTTCCGGAAACCCACACCCAACAACTGTAGTCTTTATAGCCACTCCTCCTTGCCTTCGTGCCTTTGCCACCTCCATCCCCAGCAACACCAAAACTAGTCCAAATATTTTGACCTTGTGTATGTTTTAATGGACCCTGATGGCTTCTCGGCAAGCTTGTTTAAGTGGGATCCAAGGAGTGTCATGCCACCACCGACAAGGTTTCTTGAAGGTGTGGCGGCGGCCTTGCCTCCCCCGCCGCAAACAATGTACTCCGTGAGGCCAAGAGAGTTAGGTCTCGGAGGGCTAGAGGAGCTGTTTCAAGCTTATGGGATAAGATATTATACAGCTGCAAAGATAGCTGAATTGGGATTTACTATGAACACCCTTTTGCACATGAAAGATGAGGAGCTTGATGATATGATGAATAGCCTTTCTCAAATTTTCAGGTGGGATTTACTCGTTGGAGAGAGATATGGAATCAAGGCAGCTGTTAGAGCTGAACGCCGACGCCTTGAGGAGGAGGAATCAAGGCGGCGCCATCTCCTCACTGGCGATACTACTAATACCCTCGATGCACTGTCCCAAGAAGGTTTGAGTACCAGCTTAAGCATTTTAATCCTTTTTTTATCTTTTTTTGTTTAAGCTTTATAGGGCCTTAATTTTGACTAATTTTCAGGCTTCTTTGCTTCGAATTGGTTCTAATTTTACTTTTGTTTCTGGGATTTTTACATATACGTAGCTCGGTTGCAATTTTGCATGCATGAATCATGATTCCATGATCCAAAATACTTTCCACTATTTCTTCCAGCCTTCTACAGAAAAACCGCTTTCTTCTCTTTGGACATTTGTCACCAAACTTGCAGTTGTGTTGGGCAACAAAAAGTAATGATCCACAGGCCAGATATGACCTGATCTCAGAGTTCCTTACTCCAAGACTACGACTATTTACAGTATAACACTCCTGCCAACGTGACAAGAAATCAAGATTTAAAATGTTAACAGTAGTATTTTATCGGGAGATGAGAAAAAAAAGTTTGTAATAGTAATAATCAAGTATAACGGATAATAACGGGTTATTCTCTCGTCGTATCAGCTGCTTCTACACCACCCTCTCCTGTTTTATTTATGTATGGATTTTTTTTGAGCAACCTCCTCTTATTGTGGAAAACTAGAAAAGAAAAAGAAGTTTCAAATATTGTCGTATGATGAAAGCTGCATTTAAGCATTAGAGAAGATCCTATTTGATGATTAGCTTCCTTTTTATTTTGGGGTTTCCGACCATATTTGACGTTAACTTTTGGAAGTAGGATTGTCTGAGGAGCCGGTGCAGCAAGAGAAGGAAGCTGGGGGGAGTGGTAGCGGTGCTGCAGGAGGGCAGACATGGGAGACAGTTGGGAAGAAGCAGGGACGAAAGAAAAAGGGGAGAGCTAGCAAAATCTTGACATCAATCGAGGATGAAGATGAAAGTGAGGGAGCTGAGGAAGATGAAAATGGTAGTGGAGGAAGCGAGAGGCAACGTGAGCATCCCTTCATCGTTACAGAGCCTGGGGAGGTGGCTCGAGGGAAGAAGAATGGACTGGATTATCTCTTCCATCTCTACGAGCAATGTCGTGAATTCTTGATCCAAGTTCAGAATATTGCCAAAGAAAGAGGTGAAAAATGCCCTACTAAGGTTAGTAGTCATCATCATCAAGATTCTAAATTCAGCATGCATTTTCTTTCGACTGCCTCGACACATTCTACAATCATCTCAAGATGTTGATTGTTAAGCATTATGTAATATGTAGCAGCAACCATCGTACTTCGACATTTACACTTGTTAAAGTTCTACACTTCTGCTTCCACACCAGACTCCAAAATGGAATAAAAAAGAAAAGGGTGAAGAAATTGGGAGGAAGGAAAACTTTAACTTGTTTAGGCCCGCCCATAGGCTTTCGGCTTTTAGCTTTTAGCTTCTGGGGTATGAATATATCCTCGTTAATTGGGTCGATTGCAAATAGATGGCCAAGAGAGAATTTGACAAGTCATGCAGCTGCTTGTGGTGGGGGACTTGTCTTGGTTACTTTTGCACATGTGTCAGTCTAATGTATGGGCACCTGGATGGCTGGATGGTCTGGGGCTTAGGTCACTAATAGGGGCAGAAGTGCTTGTTTCTTTGTTGAGCGAGTTTTTTTTTTTTTTTTTTAATTTCCTTTTTCTTAGCTAGCCTTTCCCGATTTGTAGTACTAAGTAATCAAACTGAGCCAACTCCTCTTCATATGAAGGAGAGAGATGTTTTTGAACCGAGCCAGTCATTCATCATCTACAGGGAAGCAAATCTTGAAATCTCAATGAGCTTTTCCACATTTAACGTAGCAAAGAGAAAAAAAAAAATAACCCCACGTAGAATCCCATGAGTTAAAGAATAAAAAGAAGGGGGCATATTTCAGTCCAAGCAAGCAGTGGCTGAAAGCCTTAAACACGATCCCACATCTATTGCATATGGTTTCTAACATATCGTCCAAAATGCAGGTGACGAATCAGGTGTTCAGGTATGCAAAAAAGGCCGGTGCAAGCTACATTAACAAGCCGAAAATGAGGCATTATGTACATTGCTATGCACTGCACTGCCTGGATGAGGATGCGTCCAATGCACTGAGAAGAGCTTTCAAGGAGCGAGGAGAAAATGTGGGAGCATGGAGGCAGGCTTGTTACAAGCCTCTCGTAGCCATAGCAGCAAGACAAGGGTGGGATATTGATGCCATCTTTAACGCACATCCACGGCTCTCCATCTGGTACGTTCCCACCAAGCTCCGCCAACTTTGCCATGCTGAACGAAGCAATGCTGCTGCGGCTTCCATCTCCGTCACCGGTGGTGGCGGTGGCCACACTGCCCAGCTGCCTTTCTAGGGCCTCTTGCTTATGATTGAACAAATTGGGAGGTCTTGGGCTTAGATTCGTTTGTTTAGTCAACTAACTAATTCAGTAGCTTGTAAGTTCATTAAGGGGGACGATCTTGTGTGTTAGTAAACAAAAATGGCACATCATTTGACGCTTGTGTGGGTGAACCCTTCTTAAATTCGTTTTGAATTTTGCTTTTGCCAATCTACACAAAATTCATGCTGAACAAAAATCGGTAATATTACGCTCGTTCTTTCAACCCTGTACGGTCTGCAACTCTGCATACAAATTTGTTCCGGAGTTCACTAGGATTTCGCAGAATAATTATGCAGTATTCGAGTCAAAATAACAATAGCAGATTAGTTGGACATTGCGCTGCATCACCGTAATTATGAAAAGGGTAACTAACTATCAGAGAAAAAGGAAGAAACATTTCGTTTCAAAATTCAATAAACTTGTGTCAGAAGTATGAATGAGGTCTTTCAGATAATAACGTCTTTATATGTGTTTTTAACTACTGAAAAATGAGCTTCAAACTCTATATTCGCCATTCAATCATGAACAATCAGGATGAGTGAGAGTAGGATATTTCCACAATGCATCAGCCCATGTGCTTTGGCCCTCGGTAACCTCCTTGATCACAGATGCAACTTCATCTACGTCCACACGAATCTGTTGCTTGCTATCCCTCTCCCGCACTGTCACAGATGACGTTGAATCAACTGTAATAGCAAACGGAACACCAAGTTCATCTGTTCTTGCATATCGCTTGCCTATCGATGTACCTGCAGCAACATACAGATTTACAAAAGGATAGCATCAGTGCGTGATTAAGGGTGATGCCCTATAAGAATCTTGAGGCGTATGCCAGATGTTCCTAGGATATGAATTATTGAACAGTAGATATAGAAAGGAAATAGTTAGAAGTTAACAAAGCTCTACAAGCTTTCACTTAAAAAGCGCTTCAGCAAATTATGTACAAAATCTTTGGCACAGCAGCAATGTACCACTGGTCAATGGTGCTTAGACTTCTGGTGGATAAAATAAACAAGTTGGACTAGTTTCACTCTGTTCCCACTTACCCCAACTGCACCACCACCCCCTCCAGCAGAAAGAAAAGAAAAGTGGCACTATTTATATGGAAAAAAACATTAGAAGAAAACGAGACTCTTGCTAAATCCACTTTGGCTGTATTCTCATACAATAGAAAATCAACAAATGACTTTCATAGCTCTAACATCAATTTTAGATGGCACGGATATCTCATTTTTTCAAATAATATTTCGCTTGCATCATAAACATATTTTCCAACCCATATTTTTATATTCCCAACTATCTTTTTATCTTGCATATATCATATCACAATGAGTGCTACAGTAATTATTCCAAATAATATTTCAAATAACAAACCAAGATTTCCCCTAATTTATACCGATTAAGGTATTTAACTAATTTCATGTGCTCCAAAATGCATGCTTTCTTCTTATCTTGTCAAGATACACCAATAGAAGTGCAAGGCAAAACTCTTCAACAAGAAGCAGCCACAAGTAGATAAAACATTAATTTAGAGGCATTCACATTTCAACAACAAAAGGGGAGAAGCAACCACTAAAGTGAGGTAACGGTAAATGCATAAAGTAAAAGCCAGTTTAGTATATTATAACAAATACATATACTAATATAAAGAAGTTTCAAAATAAGGCATATTCATCAATGACAATGGAGGATACCTGTTATATCAATCTTATATGATATCCCTGCAGCAGTCAGTGACCTGGCAATATTTTTTGCAACCTCTTCATACTGTTGATTCTGAACTAGTGGAAACACAGTGCACTTGATGGGTGCTACCAATGGAGGAAATCGGAAGACATTGAGTTGTTCATCCCCATCTTTGCTAGGTCTAGTATAGAAGGAATGCTCATAAAGACAATATATTATCCTTCCAATACCAAAAGAAGGTTCAATAACTGACGGTGTGAAAACTTTCTGGTGTTCCTTCTTTATTTCTTTCGAGATTGTCACCATATTACTCTTGATGGTAACAACTCTGTCAAGAGTACAAACATGAAACTCTGCTTCTCCTTTAGACTCCAGGGTCGCTTTCAACTCCAGAGCTTCTTTCTCCGCCATGGCCTATATGGAAATAAAGCGATCATAATCATCATTCCAGAAAAGCAAAACCTTAAATTTAAGTCACCATGCTTGCTAGAATATTGTTCCATGGTGACAAAGTAAATTCGTGTGCATGCAGAGCAATCTTCTATTACTTTCACCCTTCTGTACGAACCTAAAGTTTCAATGTTTTACCTAAACAATCTGCTCCTCCAATCAGAATCAGTGTTTGCCCCATTTCCAAAGTCAAAAGGTGAAAAGAACAAATGAACAGTTAAGGAAAGAAAAGGACCAGGGAAAACACAGAGGGCAAAAAGACAACCAAGAAGCGGGACAGCCTTACATGTACAAAAGAAATCAACTTATATTAACTTAATGCACAACGGCACAAAGCATACCTCCAGAGCTTCAACCACCATCCTTTGATTACCTTTGAATGCAAGGCCTAGTTCCTTCTTCACGGGAGCTATAACAAGTTTCTGAAAGAGCAAGTAACATGAATTCATAAAGAGACTCTAAAAGAAGCACAAAAATATTTTGCAAGTGAAGAGAGAGAGAGACCTCCACTTCTCTAGGTTCTGGAAGTTTTTCATGTGCAACCAGAGGGACGCCACTTTTATCCTGCCAAAGAAAGAAAAAAGGGGAAAAAAAATAACTTTAACGGCTAAGTTCAGAATGGTATGATTTTCAAGGTCCTTCCATTCAACAAAAATCATAACACCATTGTCCAAGAACACGTTTATACAACATAAAATGGTCAGACTATTCCACCAAGCCATCCATAACCAAGGATAAACAAGTCAAAGTTGGTACAGGAACTTTGCAAATCATCCAAAAAAAAAAAAATAGAAGACAAATGCTGTTGCAAAGTAGAACAGACTGTGAGATAGAGAGTTCATATTATTATAGCACACTTAAAATGATTGCAACAGATTTCCAGATTAAAACTGATCATTCAAAGCCAATTTCCTGATTATAACATTCATCCAACTCCTGTTTGCAATACAAAGGGAATTTCAAGAAATGAATATTCTAATTCCACAAAAATCCTTAATGACCGATAAAAAATTCTCACCGTATGAGCACGCAAATCATAAGCTGATCTATCAGCAATACCAACACATTCAATCCAACCATAAGAACATTCAATTTCAGCATCCCAGCAGTCCGCAGCATAGTGTGCCATCTCATTTGCCAGATGTTGGCGGAACCGCAACCGATCTCTATCAATCCCAAGATAAGTCAAGAAAAGGTACACTCTCCCAATGAAATATCCCAGTGTTTCATTGTTCACAATCCCCTGCAAAACAGCAGTAACTGTTCCTTAATACAGAGTATACCACATGTATAAGCCCCTTTGGGGTTACACATATATGCACACGCTCAGCTCTTCAAATCCACGCAAAAAGTCAAAAATAGAGTGGGAGGGTCTGAGGTAGGTGATTCTCAAACTAACCTGAGCAACTGCTTCACCAATAGGAATTCTCCTTGCTGATCGTCCTGACACCTGGTCTTCCCTAGGGAACATCAAAAACTCCAACTTTGCAACTTCAGAAAATTTTGGATGAGCCTTGTCCGCAGGATCCACAAAGTGCTCAATCTCGGCCAGTGTAAATTCACGGACTCTGAGAAGACCTTGGCGTGGAGAAATCTGCATATACACGGTTCAACCTCTACCACGTAAAAATCAAATTCTGAACAAAGAGGTATCATATATTAAAAGTAAATGGTGCATGAAAACTACTCAGGCGAGAAATCTAACCAATAGATGGCAAATGCTGATCAATTTATCATATCTAATAACAATAATACGTGTCTACCTATGTCTATGGTCCTCCTTGGTACTCAACCAAGATTATCTCCTGCAGTGCTTTTATTGTGGTTTGTTAGAAGTAATCCACAAGTATAATTAGTCTTTGACCTCCATTGCTAGACAACAACTAATTACTACTGCCATGACAATGTCATCTTGTAAAACACTGTTCTATGCTTTTACAAGGAGCATGTGCACGACTAAGTACAAAAAAGGATAGCAGGAAAGAAAACCACTTCTCTTCATGACAACTATAGCTTCAAGATGTCAAATTAGAATATTCAAAAATCAGAAAACCAACATAACAGGTTTTTGACTTATGCAGGACATAAACATGATAGGTGAAAGACAATTGTGATTCAATTATGATAACGCATATGATAAAATAGATCTTAGAGTAAGATTGTAAACCTCATTCCTAAAAGCTTGACCAATCTGCGCAGCAGCAAAAGGGAGCTTGCTCCCATTGTAGTAGTACAAATCCTTGAAATTCACAAAGATGCCTTGAGCTGTCTCAGGGCGCATATAACTGCAGCCAAAAAAATTTTTTTTTTTTTACAACACTTAAGAAAGAAAGATAAGCAAAACCCCGGAAACAGGAGTGCCAAACAAATAAGAAACTATGTACTTTCTTTTGTAATATACACCTGTAAATTATCTGCTGCTGCTCTAAACAAATAAAGGTAAAATGGGGCATAGAGTTTTAATGATATTCTTACCCTGGGAGCGTTCCAGATGGCCCAATTGAGGTCTGGAACATAAGATTAAAAGGGTAGGGATCAGAAAGAGGATTCTTGGTATCTGGAGCAACAATTCCATACTCCTTAAGTTTAGCACCCAACTCTTCAGCAGAAAGATCATCCAAAACTGCAAGAACATGCCTGAATTCTGCCTTCTTCTCATCACTGAGATTAGGTTCTTTCTCAAGCTTCTCTTTACAGAAATCCTTTAGCAAATGATCAGCTCTGTAACAATTCCCAGTCTTTTCATCTTTCACCATAAGATCAGTAAACTTATCAACATGTCCCGATGCCTTCAGCACTACTTCTGGGGTCACACAAGGGCAATCGACTTCCAACATATTCTCTTCCAATACAAAATGCTGAATTTATTCAAAATCACAACACCCATTGTCAAAATCATCAATTTTAATCCAGGCCCAAAACGAAAATGGAAAAACAAAGAAATATTGAGGAACAAGCTTGATATTATGCTTCAGCTTGGTTTGATTAAACTTTAATGTGTGCTTATCCAACCAAGCTCAACCCGAGCTTATTCATTCGCTTGGCTCGGCTGGATTTGTTGACGAACCAATCTCGACTGAGCCAAGCTCTCCCAGCTCTAATCTAGCCATAGATTTTTTTCGTTTTTCAATCCTAATTATCGTAATTATAGTTAGTTGAACTAACTTTTGAAAGAAAAATCAGAATTCTACTCAAATTTCAAATTTCATCTGGGTCATGACAGACAGATTACATAAAACTGAGACATAATTGGCCCTCAAAAGCCAGTCTTGCAGACAATTAAATGAATAACAAAACATCCAAATCAGAATTCTAGTACGAATAAAGAGAAATGAGTAGACCTGACGCCAGGAGGCGAGGACGTTGGCCTTAACGGCACAACCAGGAGGGCCATAGTCATAGAGGCCAGCAACGCCACGGTAGATCTTGAATGAGGGGATGTAGAATAGACGGCGTTCGAGAGTGTTAACGACGGCCTGCCGGAAAGCTTCTCGGTTGTGGGCTTCTTGAGCAGCGTCCATTTCGTCCTTTTCTTTTCTTTCTCTTTCAGCTGAGAGAATTTCAGAGCTCGAGAGTGGACTTGATAATTGAGTAGAAAGGGGAAAAAAATTACTGTCAGAGTTGGAGATATTTTAGACTTTAGACAAAGACTGAAAAGCAATTTGGGTCTTTGGATAGTGGAAATCTGCAAATTGGAATTTCCACAGTCCGCTAGGGTTTTTAGTATTGCATAATGTGTTGTACCTTGTGGAAAGAAAGTTGTATATTTTGGAAACGGCTTTTTGCCTTTTTTTTTTTTTTTTTTAAGTTTTTCTGTCCCGGTTCATATCGAATCTGCATTAATAATCGGTGGTGGAATTCATTAATCTTGCGGTCCTGCCTTGTCATTGTGTTTGTTACTTGGTAAAGAGGGGAAATTCTTCTTTGATATAATGGTGAGATTTTTTTAGAAAAGGAAAAATAAGAGAACAGTGGGTTATGAAAATGCAAAAGTTTGTGGAAAATGAAATGGGTAGATTTGGCAATGGGTAAAAAAGTAAAACACGAAGCAAAATGTCTTTAAGCAGTCAATGAGCTCTTATTCTTTGTAAGAATTGACAATTACTAAGAATTAACGCAAAGCCTGAGCGCTCTCTCTCTCTCTCTCTCTCTCACGGCTAGTATTAAAAAAAAAAAAAAGGACTACTATTGACTTGCGATTCAATATAATTGAGACTCAAACAATTAAAGATTTTGACTTTAAATTTTTCTATTCTTCCAAATATGAAAGAAAAAAAATATTGATTTTTTCCTAAAATAAGAATTTGGAAATTCTAAATGTTAGAGCTCTTTTTTTTTTTTTTTTTGGGAATGATGTTACTTTTAAAGCTCACAATAAAGCATTATATCAAAAGAAAAAAAAAATAAAACATATGAAAGAGAAAAAGAAAAACAAGTGACACGATGTCGTTATGACTCGACTCACGATAACAAGTACCAGCTGCCAGCTACCAAATACCAACTCTGACTCTGACAGCGTTCAAAAAAAAAATCAATATCAATTAATCTCACCCGAAATCTCCGCCTGTTCAAGCGATAAGGATTTTGGCGCCAAAATGCATCGCTCCACAACTAGGTCTCCTTCTCCGATCGCCGATCTTCAATCGAAGCTCTCACGAATTTCTTTTCAACAAGAACAGATCAAAATCGCATTCAATCAGCTCCATTCTCACATCCGAACCAGTTTGATCGAAGTACTATTGTCATGATTATCATTATCTGATCATACACTTCAAATATTAATTCAAATTTCGTGCTGTACATTTTCAAATACTGGAAGACTTCCATTTCTATTTTTTTTTGTCCTCCTGAATTGTGTGTGATTTATGTTCTTGTCAAAGGCTGAAGATGTATTTTCGTCGCTGGCGATTCCATTGATGATGCTTGTTGGATTGAAGACCGGGGAAATGGCGGACGAAGGACGATTCAGTTCCATTATTATCAATGATAAGAACAACTATTATCCTTCGAATTATAAAGTATTACTATACTAATTTTAATCTCCTATTTGTTCATGTCGTGATTGTTCAGTGCATACTCATATCAAATTGGACATTGGTCCCGTGCGCGTGAATTTTTCATGTGTTGTGTGTTGTTCAATTTCTGTATGACGTAAAAGTTGTCGATAATCGAATACTTATGCGCTTCATTTTCCTTAACAGGAACGGGAAAGGAATGGAGATAAATCTGAAGAAGTATGCAGTAGATTGGTGGTGGCTATGAGGGGAATGGATGAAAACCTGAGGATTGGTAAATTTGAGGTGATCTTTTTTTTTTGGCATAATCTTCCTGTTAGAAAATGTTCATCTTGTTGTGATTACTAAGAATTTCACTGATCGCTGGTGTGCTTTTCTTCCGATGAAGAAGGACTATGTAAACAATTAATGGCAGAGGGGAGTTTTTTTGTCAATGGAATTCTCATTCCGAAGCAGCTCTTTCTTTTTCTTATTGTCTTTCTTAGGATATTGAATAGTATTTCTGTTAGACCTAATAATCCCTGAGCTTCCCCCCGTCCCTCAACACCCCCCCCCCCCCCCCCCACAAAAAAGAAAAAAAAATATTGGTTTTCTATGCATAGTGATTACTGATTAGGTTAAGGATTAGACTGAGAATATGGTTAGTTCAATGTCATTGGATTATCCAACTGCAGTCCCAATTACACCGAGTTCTCAGCTTTTTGGTTGCTTTTCTAGTGAAGAAACCATCCAATAGCATTTGATGTGAGATGGCGACTTGTTGACTGTTTCAATTGGTAGGTTGTACTGATCATTTGTTTGCAGGGACTAAATGTTGCCGCTAAAGCCACCAAAGCATGCAAGGAGCTAATCCATAAACAAAAACTGCAGCTAATGCAATTAGTGCAGCTTCTGAAACAAATTGAGGCCCAGGTTAATTCTAGCCAAGATGACATCTTTCAGACCCTTGCTGATCAACGGGCATCTATCCAAAAATTATTTCAGCAAGCTGTTGCATATGTTTATGCCACTCACCAATCATGTCAAAGTAATGGCACCTCTATCAACATGGTAAAGCTTCTGAAAATCACTTATGACCATGTTGATTCAGCCCTTGGTTCAGTGGAGATTGGAGTGGAAAACCTGATGACTAAGCTGGGTGATAAAATGTGCAATCCAATGGTTCAGTATGTTAATGAACTTAAAACTGATGTTGTTACTGGAACCTGTCCGAATCTGCTGGCAATGGTGGAGGAGATTGGAGGAGAAATGAGGCTTCGAAGCCTACAGTTGGAGGAAGCAAGAAAAAAGGTGAGAGCAGTTGAAAAGAGTAGAATCGATGCTTTAAATAAGTTAAGGGAAACTGAAGGAAGAATGGAAATGTTGAAGGAAGAACAGCGTTTTCTTTCAGAAATAAATGATGGTTCAAGAGGACATTCTGTTTCTGAGAAGGTATCCCTTAGTTCCTTTGACCAAATTCATTAAAGTTGCATACTTTCCTTGCAAATTTCAGATCATGATCACTCTATCACTCTAGTAAAACATATAGTAAAGGTAACTCCTTTACCAATCAAGATTATGTGGCTAAAGAACTAAGAAAATTTATCCATAAAAGATAGGAAAAAATGAACTCTTTTATGTCCTTTTTCTACATTCAATCTACTATGAACGGCATAATACTCAAACTATACTTTTGATTCAGCTTAACACGGATATTCTATCATCTGCTTTATGACTGTACATTTGTGAATATCACATTACTCGAGCATCATAATATCAAATACATACATTGTTGGTTTCCTTAAGCCATTAGTTTTTACAATTTCTACTGAAAGTAGGTTTTGTACATTGCTAGACAGTAATCTTCTCTGAAGCAACTTGTTACGCAGATAGCTTAGGCAGTGTACTCTGGGAATTGTACCTTCTGTATTCTGATGCTTTCTATTTTTATGGGCTTCATGAGTATATGGTATGGATAGTCTTTTACGATCTAATCCTAAACTGTTTCCCCTGAATCTAGTCCGTGAAGCTTCTATATGCGGAGGAAGATCAAGCTAAGGATGAAAAGCTACTGTGGGAGCTACTGAGGAAAAAAAGAAAACTGCAAGTACCTGACAGTCCATTTGGAGCAAAGGAGCTTCTAGGCATTGGAACCTGTGAGAGATATCTTAGATCGAAAAGGGCAGTATCTCCAATCAGTTGCAGGCCAAATAAAACTAGCCAATTAGCAGGACTAACTCCACAAACTCCGAGGATCGAATTTCGGACACCATTGGGTTCTTCTCCTTCAACCACAATTCATCAAGTTCTGTCACGCAAGCGCATTACTCCCTGACCACATGGTTGAACAGATGCTGGGCTCCTTGCTTGTTGGTTGATCTAGGAGCAATTAACATGGCTTTTCCTTTGGAAGCTATCCTTTCTTTCTCACCTAGTGTAAATAGAGTGATTGCCAGAAGCAGTTAAGCGTACATTTGTTTCACCTCAACAGCACTCTCTTATGTTCTATGTAAACTCTAATGGTAGGATGACTTGGAATTGGAATCTACGTCTTATGGTTGATATTGATTTGCTCGGAAGCATGTAATGATCAGATTCATGGCAAGTATGATTCCCTCTTTTTCTTTTTCTTTTTTCAAATCCTGCCCCTAATGCTCTAACAAACCTCTTTTAGCAAATAGCTTTCCATCATTAGACTAGGCACGCTTGTTGAACCGGGTTTACTGAACTCTTGGCGCTACTCGTATTTTGCCATATTCTTGTGTGAATACTAATGAGATTATTTAGTAGCGTCTTGGGCCTACTTTTGTAGCCCAATAGCTGAGTATTCTAAAAGCTTAATTCATAGCACATTGAAGCCCAATTTCCACATGCTGGCTTAATTTCTTTTGCTCTCGGAGCCTTCTTTTTTTAATAAAGTAACTTTTTTTTTCTTTTCTTTTTTTTTTTTTTCCAAAAACAGATTTTCATGGCTAACCATTTGGCCAAAGTTGTTTAAAGAAATCGTTTATGGGCTGTTCGTGGGAACTGGGGTGCCTTGGGCAAAGGGTCTCGGACTTGGCGGTAACCGGCACACAGCAGGAGCCGCCTAATAATCATTTTTTGGCCATCTGTTTCAAGCAGCCTCCGCTCCCGCTTCTCCAAACCGCCACCTTCCACCGCCAACACCATAACAATATCACAACCGAGCAACTTAGTTGGCTCCTCAAACCACCCTCTCATTTTGTTTTCCTCCCTAAAAGCCCTCAAGAGCTTCCACTTCCAGGTTCCAATTCCCAAGTGAGGGTTTAAATCTTGATTTTTAGGTATAAAAGAAAATTTTAAAAAAAGAAACTCTTATTATCTTTTTCTCTTTATTATTCAGCCTGCTGATAAAAATTGACCAAAAAATATTTTTTCTCTCTTGTGGGGCGGGGGGGGGGGGGTCTTTGAATGTCATTAATCGTGGAATCAATATTATGTTCTTTAGCTACAGAGATTTGGAGAAAGTAGATTATATTGTCAAGCTCATACATATGATTTTATCATTGCTTATAGGTACTTTGTGTCTGAGGTCAATTTCTCCAAGACTGGAACTTTTGCTCCGCTAATCGTAAAAGATGGTATGACGTATTCCGACTTCTGTTTACATGTGTTTTGCTTTCTACTTGATTGTAGTTTAGCTTTTGCATGTCTTTATGAACATCTTTTGACCA